CGCCCCCCCCCAGCCACTCGCCCCACCACGCTCCTTCCATCGGTGCCAGATCCCTCCTGAGGAGCTGTCGGGAGGGCTGGGCACAGCCTGGAAACTGGGCACAAACTGGAGAAGGGGAAATAACTCCACGTATAGATGTCCATGCCCTTGGATTGGGTCTGCAGGAGCACGGAGCAGCCAGGGATGGCTGTGACCTGCTTGGCCCCTCGATGTCCTCGTGGCTGCCAGGGGAAAGTCGCCCGTGGGTGCTGACCAGACTCTCCCGCTGGCCCCATCGCCCGTCGATTCCCTCCACTCATCATGAATAATTCACCAAGGGCTCCACATGCAGCCAACTCCAAACAGGCAGGAGAGCTGCCCGCCCTGCCCGCCGTGCCCTGGCACGGGCCGTGTGCCAGGCAGGATGCAGGCAGAGAGGTGGTGAGGCCAGTGTGGACGATGGGCACCAAAGGGCACCATCCTCTCTGTCCTCCTGTGAACTCGAGGCCGAGCTGCGGGGAAACTTCCCAGGAATAACAATGAGGAAGAGGTGGGAGGTTTCTCATGGAGGTTTCCCCGAGAGGGAATCATGTGGCGGGTGAAGCTCTGTGAGCCCCCAACTCCCCAGCAATGGTCAGTGACTGGGAATCTCCAAAGCACCACGGTGCAGCCCTTCGCCATCACTCACACCATGCCAAGGCCAGCAGCTGGTGGCTGTCCCAGTGAGGCTCTTCTGCAGAGAACAATTCAGCCCTCGGCACGAAGCCACCATGCTCCTGGCTCTCTCTGGGCACAAGTGAGGTGTTTTCATGGTGTGAAGTTTGTCTTTGAAGTATGTTAGTGAGTCCCTCTCTCCTCGCTCATCCCACAAAGCAAAGAGGAGAAGCACTCACACATGCTAGACAATGAGACCCTGCCACGCCAAGGAGGGGACCAAGGTGTCTCCATGCCCTGGGCATCCTCTGGGTGAGCGGACATGGAGATCTCTGCCTTCCAAAGAAGACCTCATCACGCCAAGGTGGGGACCAGAGTGTCCCCATGTCCCGGGCATCCCCTGGGTGAGTGGACACAGGGATCTCTGCTGTCCAAACACCACCACCTCACCATGCCAAGGTGGGGACCAGGGTGTCCCCACGTCCTGGGCATCCCCTGGGTGAGCAGACGTGGAGATCTCTGCTGTCCATACGAGACCTCACTGCGTTGAGGAGGGGACCAGGGTGTCCCCGTGTCCCGAGCATCCCCGGGGCCAGCAGACACGGGGACCCTCGCGGGGCAGGGCCGGGCTGGGCCGTGCCC